TAGAACTATTAAAATTAAATTTTTATTAAAGTCATATTATTGACTGCAAATAAATATTTGCAATTTCATTTGAGAAGAACTTAACTTTTGCGATAACTCTTAAATTTATTTTGAATTTTATAAAATGAATTAAAAATTCCTCCACGTTTTCCAAGAAAGATTCATCGCAATAGCTTTAAAACAAAGACTCTAGTTCACGTATAAGCGGATCAAGAATATATATACTTTATGTGGTGGAAATCGTGTCCCTCACTCCGTTACAAACTTATCACTGAAATTTTAAAAACCTCTGCAAGGGCATAAATATCCTTGTTTGTCTGGCTAGAGTGAAATGTTTGACAGACTGTCTTGGTGTTGAAAAGGGTTCGAATAGGGACTAGCCAGTTGGTCCCTTCGAGTAGTATGAGTTAATGGGATTCAGCAGAGACAAAACAAATCTGACAGCTTGAATCAGCAGCTGTTTATGTGAAAGGGTTTTGGATTTTAATTTTTAATTAGTTAGTTCTACAACCTGTGTAATTTGTAAAAGACGCGTTGGCAATTAATTAAAAGATAATGGGCTGTTATGTGGGTTATTGGTGTTTGCCTTTGGGAGTCACTACCTAATTGGAGGTATTTAGTTTTAATTTTAAAAGAACCCAAGCTAGTTTTTAGTATCCAAAAATAGTTTGTCATAAGATTCGCTTACATTCTTGTTGTCATAATTATTTTCTTATTGATGTTATCATCTGGTTTAAAAACATTTCCTTGGAACAAGAGCTTTATTTAAAGCGTATTAGCTCACTGAATGTTGTAATAATCTCGACACACAAAAGGCCAGCAGCAATTTCCCCGTTCCTTTGAGAATATCTCACAATTAGACGCCGAGGATAACCAGGACACTTGTGCAGCTCGTCCACACCTCTCCGCATAATCCTGCCCACTCATTATGGTCTCGACTGGGACCTCGGCAGTGGTAGTGAAACACGTGTCTGGCCCCGTCTGTTCTATAATTACGCATAGAGCCCCTGCTTGACTCCGGCTTTCCATCTGTGCGCATAACCAAAAAGTTTATATAAAACTCACGATGACGCCGACAATTCTGCGTCTGTGTCAGGTGCCCTCGCCCACTGTCATGCTCGCAAAACTGCTCTGCAAAGCCAAAATTCGTCGGAAATATTATTTTTATTACGTTCGATAAATATTGTTAGTGTTCTTTCGCTATCTAAAATAAATATTCAATTATAGCTTATTTCGCAATTTGAATAGAAAGCAAAAGTTGTCCCACCTTTTAACTAGTTAAATTTTCTTTAATTGTGTTAAATGTTTTTAATTTTTATTTCCTATCTATCTAAAAAAAGTACTGGTAAGCTGAAATTTTTTTAATGAAATTAATAATAATGAACCATAATATAGATTAACTCCAGGCAAAATGGCTATATATTGAAACACGGAAATGAGGCCATAATGACATAATTACATCAAGATATCAAAGAAAATAAAAAAAATGTTTTGCAGATTTCAATGATACTGATAAATGATTACCTTGTAAATTTCCATATTTATTGCCTTTACATAATTTGAATTTCTTGATAATTTTGCAGCCTCTGTAATAATATTCCCGATGTTGTTCAGTGTAATCTTATTGCGGAGGCATAGCAGAATGACGATATTAGCTTGGCCTGGATTGCCTTACATAAGCAGGAGATGCCACAAGTAGAAATAGACGACAATAGAATGTGCAATACTCGGAAGGACGTCTGTCAGTCTGTCACCAAGTCAGGTGGTATAGGTGTGTAATTAATTTCATTGGATCCCTATGTACAAATACGCCGGGGCGACAAAAAGCCTACGCGGAAAATATGTATAAATATTTGAGGCCAACAAATTGTATTCGAGGTGCAATTGTCACTATCGGCAATTGAGTCAGAGTCAGATTAAGTGAATGAAATGAAATGCGCTGTCAAATGAAACAGAAATTCAGGTTGGCCTCGTCCCGTGGAAACCGGTTTAATTGTTCAGCCCCACGACCTCAGCTTTCCCAATTTTTTCCAGCCACAAATGGACAGTCAAAGGCAGGGAAAAGTTGAATTTTTTATGACAGGACCAATTGTTTGGGTGGATTTTTTTTAAATATTGTGGGGCCGTCATTTATTTGATTACGCCTGGTCAAGTCAAGTTGCCATCTCCGTTTATTTATGTAGGCATATATTTTTTTGCCGAACGGGCTTGTTGAATGCTGAAATGGAATACATAATTTAAAAAGGCCTCGCATAACGATATAAATATTCAACTTCAACCGAATCGAAGGGGGGTTAAAATTGCGAAGCACTGAAGAGGAATCACGCATCAATTGCCCACTGCCAATGCAATTTAAGAGATCGCAATACCCACTCGTTTTTAGCACCATTTTCGTGCGAAATTAAATTTGCACTCTGCTGCAAAAACTTGTAATGTCCTTGGCCAATTTTCGACGCTGCATAGCTAATGGGGCAACAGCTGCAGTGTGCTGGCTGCCTTTCTAACGAACAAAAGGGCATTATGTTGGCCGGGAAGGGAAGTTGGCTGGGGTGGTGATTTCACACAGGAACTGAAAGGACCCCTCCGTCTGCCAACTTGTGCATTGTGCCAAGATCCAGGCCATCAAGTTGAGCCTAACCAGGCCGAAACTAATCGCGTTTTGCGGCACGGCAGACTTGACTGACTGCTAAATTAATTTATAATAAGCGCACCTTGATGCCTGATTAAATTGCACCCCACAAGTCAAGTGTACGGGTACCATTGTGTACAGGATTAACTTTCGGGAAATGTTGGTCTTAAGCGAACGAAACAATATTTTAAACTAATGGATTTAAACTTCCGTTTCAAAAGGTTCGCAAGTCTCTAGTGAAAAAACGGCAATTTATGATTTATCTTAAAACAAGAAAATGTAAATGTTAAACTTTTGAATAGATGGAATAAATACTTTTTCTATGTACTATGTATAATAGAGTAAAAAGTGTTTGCCAATCGCTATCCAAGCCAAACCGTTTACCGAGTATATTAAAATCAAATAAAAACACCTCTTAACGAGGTAAAAAACTAGTGACGACCGCACCTTCAACATACAAAAGTTCTGATATCAACATTTGTGACGAAAAATTATTACACTCGTCATTAAATAGACTTTCTAATCTTTTCTCATTCGGCCCGTCCTAGCAAACTATTCCAGCCTTTTTCCCTTTACAGGCATTTACTATTGCAGCGTGCCGAATGAAAAAATATTAGAAAGTCTATTTAATGACGAGTGTAATAATTTTTCGTCACAAATGTTGATATCAGAACTTTTGTATGTTGAAGGTGCGGTCGTCACTAGTTTTTTACCTCGTTAAGAGGTGTTTTTATTTGATATCAGAAGTTTTTGTTTGTTTACATTTGCTCTCATAGGAGCTAATATATACATTTAAATTTAAATTGGTCAATCATAATTTTTAAACTATTGTATTTTAACAAATTAAGTTAAAAAGGCGTTGAAGTATTTCAAAATACCTTTTAATCGAGGTATAGCACATGTCTGTACCTTTAGTAGTGTAGAACTTACAAACTAACGAAATTTAGCTATTTTTAGCTTTTTCCCGCTAAAGTAGCGGCTTTTTCCAAAAGTCGTAGAACAAAAGATTCCTATATGGAACTCTTAAGTGCAAATTTACTGATTCCATGACCCTAAAATGCAGTTCGGATACCCTCACACAAAATTCAATACTCAGGGAGCGTTAATTGTTCGAGCTGGCAAAAGTGGCTATTTTCGTATAAAAATAACTTTTAAACGTGACTTTTTACAGTAATGTGTTATATACCAAAATTTAAGGAATCTCAAGGGCTATACAGTTTAAGGTTTTAAAGAAAATCGTTAGAGCCGTTTTTGAGAAAAATAAAAAAAAGCTAAAAAAAAAGTTTTAAAAAATTGTCTTTTGTTCATATTTTTTTAACTGTTACATTTACACAAATTGCATATAAAAGGCGTTTATAGCATTTAAAAATACCTTTCAAACGAGATGCAGCACAAGTCTGTAGCTTTAGTAGTATAGAAGTTACGGCTTTCCGAATTTTAGCTATTTATAGCTGTTTTCCCGCTAAACTAGCGGGTTTTTCCAAAAGTGGTAGAACAAAAGTTTTTAATATCGATGTGATGAACGTCATATCAAATTTTCAGAACTTAAAAAACATATTTTGGACAAGTGGACAAGTGGACAAGTGGACAAGTGGACAAGTGGACAAACTGACAAACAGAATTAAATTTTCATTTTGGGAAGAAGAAGAAAATCTTATTTTGGCTATAACTTTGGAACGGAGAGTCGGATTTTGACAAATGACCCCTCATTCGACGGGTATTTTCAAAAGGAATACAACTAAAATATTGCGAGGGGGCATTTATCCCCACCGGCCCCAACAGCTCCAAATTTCGAAATTTTCACTTTTTCACTTTCACCGCTCTCTCTCCCAAGCCAATTGATTTTTTTAAAGTCTTGGTATGCAATCCTGTTAGTTTTAGCTATACCTTTCGATAGGTGTATCATTCATTATGATCGGACCATCACAGTAGATTTTCATTTCTTCGTGTATATATAGTAGTCGCCTTCGCACACTCTCCTGGTGCGCTTCGTCACTACATGGACTGCCGTCCATAGTGATATGTTACTATTTAATCCCTTATATATTTCTATAATTAATTTTGTTAATTGACCTATTTTAATGTTCGTCAAAAGTTAGATTTTAAAGATTCAAGCTATTATATTATTTTTATAATATTGCAATCAGAAAAATTGTATAATTTCTTACATCTGTATGGCGATGACAAACAAAAAAACATGCAGTCTTTATAACTTTTGTAATATAAATTTCCTATATTTCGATGCCACGATGACAACGCAATATCGTACAGTATTACTCGAGGATGTCGATTGACCTAATCATTTTACGGTATTATTCCACCCATGGATATTCATTTGATGTCCTTCTAAGCAAAGCCAGAAAATTAAAAATTAACTTGATATTTCGATATTATTTTATTAATAAAACGATGGATAGGGCTTAGATGATGCTTTCAAATCTGCGCTCACGGAATTCGCCATCCCGAAATCTGCGTCCCTCGAAATTGCCTTCACGGAATCTGCGTCCTTCGAAATTGCGTTCACGGAATCTGCGTCCTCCAAAATTTCTTTCACGGAATCGGCGTCTACCGAATCTGCGGCCACCATTGCCCCTCCTGAACCTGCGGATGCGGAACCTTCGGCGCCTGCGCAACTTGCGAGTCTTTGCTGTGGTAGTCGTGGTCGAAGTCGAGGCTGCAGTGGTGGCAGTAGTAGCAGCATCTGGTGTGCTTGGAGAAGTGGGAGAAGTTGGAGTACTCGGAGAAGTTGGTGTTGTTGGAGAAGTAGGAGAAGTCGGTGAAGCTGAATCAGTTGGCGAAGTTGGAGACGTCGGAGAAGTTGGAGAAGTCGGAGATGTTGGTGATGTTGGATCATCGACGGCAGAAGCAGCTGCTACTAAGGCTACTAAGCCCAGAAGCAGGGTGAGTTTGGAACACATCTTGAGCTGTGTTACCGGATAACTATAAATCTTTAGACTAAGACTGCCTTTTTATAGGTCGAAATCTAAAAGTTCTTGTCTTCAAACCGCCAATCTGTGTTTGCATGAACTCTTCTTTGGTAAAGACAGTTGTCTGAAGAACAAAAAGAAGAGGCAATCGTTAGTGGCAGAGAGCTTTTATGATGTGGAAAGTTTTTGGGTATTTAATTTAAAACAATCGAGAGTTAGTATTATTTTCTTTGAAATTCATCTGCAAACACAAGGCTTTTTGGAACAAATAGCACGAGCTTTTGGTTGAACAACGTGCTTACCATTGTTAGGTGGTCTGTTTAATTCTTATTCTATATTATTTGTCATACCAAAGATATTATTTAAAGTAAGCAGAATAAATAATAATCCATCTATACAAGTAATAAGAAGTACAGCGAAATAAAGTAAGCAGAATAAATAATAAAACATCTATGTAAGTAATAAATTAAATTATACTTTGTTTTTGGTGGCACATTTTAAAAGCAACCACATGTCACTTCTATTTTAAAAGATAATTTCTCATTCTAAGTACAACTTGATTATTAAACAGATTTATCAAGAATTAGGGCTTCCTTTTCAAATTAGCTCGTTAAATTAGAAAATCACTTCAACAACATAACCCCCTGCTGTAGCACCATATAATTGTCGCCTCATTCCTTAATAAATATATCCGCATACATATAAATATATTATGTACATTAGGGCGGTCCAAAAAATGAAATTCTTTTCTCACCCCTTAACATGGTATATTAAAGTATGCAAAAAATGTATGTGAAAACAAAACAATTTTTTTTCGAGATTTAGACCTTGCGAAACGTCTTCAAAGTTTTCTTTAAAATTACTCATACGACATGTATACCAGTTCGAATTTGGTCGAAAAAAATCGCTCTCCCATTTCTTGTCTTGTCAAATCAAATAAAAACACCTCTTAACGAGGTAAAAAACTAGTGACGACCGCACCTTCAACATACAAAAGTTCTGATATCAACATTTGTGACGAAAAATTATTACACTCGTCATTAAATAGACTTTCTAATCTTTTCTCATTCGGCCCGTCCTAGCAAACTATTCCAGCCTTTTTCCCTTTACAGGCATTTACTATTGCAGCGTGCCGAATGAAAAAATATTAGAAAGTCTATTTAATGACGAGTGTAATAATTTTTCGTCACAAATGTTGATATCAGAACTTTTGTATGTTGAAGGTGCGGTCGTCACTAGTTTTTTACCTCGTTAAGAGGTGTTTTTATTTGATATCAGAAGTTTTTGTTTGTTTACATTTGCTCTCATAGGAGCTAATATATACATTTAAATTTAAATTGGTCAATCATAATTTTTAAACTATTGTATTTTAACAAATTAAGTTAAAAAGGCGTTGAAGTATTTCAAAATACCTTTTAATCGAGGTATAGCACATGTCTGTACCTTTAGTAGTGTAGAACTTACAAACTAACGAAATTTAGCTATTTTTAGCTTTTTCCCGCTAAAGTAGCGGCTTTTTCCAAAAGTCGTAGAACAAAAGATTCCTATATGGAACTCTTAAGTGCAAATTTACTGATTCCATGACCCTAAAATGCAGTTCGGATACCCTCACACAAAATTCAATACTCAGGGAGCGTTAATTGTTCGAGCTGGCAAAAGTGGCTATTTTCGTATAAAAATAACTTTTAAACGTGACTTTTTACAGTAATGTGTTATATACCAAAATTTAAGGAATCTCAAGGGCTATACAGTTTAAGGTTTTAAAGAAAATCGTTAGAGCCGTTTTTGAGAAAAATAAAAAAAGCTAAAAAAAAAGTTTTAAAAAATTGTCTTTTGTTCATATTTTTTTAACTGTTACATTTACACAAATTGCATATAAAAGGCGTTTATAGCATTTAAAAATACCTTTCAAACGAGATGCAGCACAAGTCTGTAGCTTTAGTAGTATAGAAGTTACGGCTTTCCGAATTTTAGCTATTTATAGCTGTTTTCCCGCTAAACTAGCGGGTTTTTCCAAAAGTGGTAGAACAAAAGTTTTTAATATCGATGTGATGAACGTCATATCAAATTTTCAGAACTTAAAAAACATATTTTGGACAAGTGGACAAGTGGACAAGTGGACAAGTGGACAAGTGGACAAGTGGACAAACTGACAAACAGAATTAAATTTTCATTTTGGGAAGAAGAAGAAAATCTTATTTTGGCTATAACTTTGGAACGGAGAGTCGGATTTTGACAAATGACCCCTCATTCGACGGGTATTTTCAAAAGGAATACAACTAAAATATTGCGAGGGGGCATTTATCCCCACCGGCCCCAACAGCTCCAAATTTCGAAATTTTCACTTTTTCACTTTCACCGCTCTCTCTCCCAAGCCAATTGATTTTTTTAAAGTCTTGGTATGCAATCCTGTTAGTTTTAGCTATACCTTTCGATAGGTGTATCATTCATTATGATCGGACCATCACAGTAGATTTTCATTTCTTCGTGTATATATAGTAGTCGCCTTCGCACACTCTCCTGGTGCGCTTCGTCACTACATGGACTGCCGTCCATAGTGATTATGAATTTCGTTGAAATAATTCGTAAAAAAAAGGAGAGTAAAACATCAACTGAATTGTTGATATCTATGCCACCTTGATCAGAAAAACTTTTTGATCGAAGGCAACAGTGCGTATGGGTGATAAACTTTGAAACCAAATCGCAGACCCTAAAACACGATTTTTTTAAAAATTGTCTTTTGGTATACCTTGAATACCACAATGCGCACCGTATAAGCGGGTGAGAGTAGGACCTTAAAATTTTCCATACAAATGTGGACCGCCCTAATGTACATATCCCCCAGCATATTCACAATTTGCCATGAGTTGGCAAAAATTTATCGCTTATGGCATCAACAACTGTTGCCCATATATAAATTTGTGTGCGCTATATTTATCAGACGACGCAGCATGACGCTCATTATTTTTCAGCCCACGCTCCGGAGGTTTCCCTACTCCCCCTATAATCCCATCCAGCTTCCTCCCGACCCAACAAACACAACCCTTGGAAGCCCTTGGGCCAGGCAGCAATTCGTGCTCAAATATAATGAAAATGGGAGACTATACAAAAACATTTCGTGTTAAATATTTTACATGCAGATTGCTGAAAAACTTGCCCAACATCCTTTGTCTTGTAGCACGTGGAAACTGTGATTTTTTTTTTTCTTTGGGGGAAAACGTTTTCATGTATTCCGCTTACTTTACACTTTGAAAAATATGGGTTTTATCATTTTAAAAAATTATTTATCCTTTTTTAATTTTTTATTAAATATTGTGTGTTGTAAAATGTATAAGTTTTCCTTACAAAGTCAGCCTGTTTCGTTTTGTGTATGCTTATATAGATTTTAAAACCTGTGTATTTATTTTCAGTGCAGTTTTCATTCCTTGGGCCATCTGGCTGTGATTGCTAAAATTCAAATTGTCAACAGTTTCCAAGCGGTGGTCCCCAATTTTGGCCTTTTTTGGGTCGTAGGCTTCGAAGACAAGGCTCATGACTTGGCGAAGATGTAAAAATTAAAGGATATCGAGGGGGAAAGAAATTTGAGGCAGAAGTGGCTAGGTCATGTATGGATCAGCGGCTCCTTTTTTGGGCTGCCTGAAGCAGTTTTTTGTGTCTTGATTTCATGTTAAGGACATTTACAAATTACTCCCTGCCCCAAGGTTCACACTTGTTGGTCTGCCGTGGTAGCCTTAAGTCCCCAGTCTTACTTTTGGCCGAATCAATGGCTGCAGTTTTTTCTTGGGTTAGAACGTCTGGCCCACTCGGAAGGTTCAAACAGTTCAAATGTCAGACTGGCAAATTGAGTGACAATGATGCGGTCGAATTGGAGTTTGTTTTTCTTTATTTATTCCCATTATTTATCTGGGGTCAAAAGTGCTTTTGGCTTGTATTTCAGTTTACCTTTCAATTGAAGACTTATTTCGGATTTGTTATAGAAAAAATTTAATTTGTAATGCAGGCCTTAAAGCTTCAACTTGTTGAGAACAGATCATGAAGATAGTGTAACTAAATGGTCTAAAATCAGTCTAAAAATGTCTCGATATGATGATAACAAAAATAAAGGCTTTTATGCCACCTAATCAGGGAATTTATCGCTTGGGTCAGTTATTACTTGAATCCGCATTCAGTAGAAGGGTTAACAGAAACTTGTAAATTATTTAAAATATTTATTTCGGTGACTTCCGCTGGCAATTGTCCTGGACTTAAAATACTTTTCATGCCAAGTCCCTGTTAAGACTTCGTTCCTGTGCAATAACCAAATGCAAAGTGCCCTCGGGAGCTCGTAATCTGCCAATTGCATGGTTAACATGTTCAGAAACTACATCAGCACCATAATGCCAGCCCATCGACCCTACTTAAAGTCAGTCAACAATCGGGGCCAAGTGGCTGCGGCTCCTCCATTCAAATTGCAATTGAGGCGAGGTTCCTCCGCCCACGAACACATGATGGCAATTTGCTCGGCATAACAAGGAGGGATTTCCCCAACTTCTGTGGCTTTTCCAGGGGAAGAGGCGGGCAGCCAGTCGCTTATTACCCCGTTCATTAATTTCCATTGCAAATGTTTTGCTCGACTGGGCCGAAACGCCATCAAGCCATCATCATAGGCAGCATTAACACCGCCAGCCAAATTGGGTTAATTACCATTGTGTATGACATTTAGCCATTTTGTGCAGTGGAGTCACTTAACCCCTTAACACCCACAAGGGTGATGTAGGACATATAAAAATCGCACACCATCAAACGCGGCAATTTGCATAAACTTTATCCACGCATCGTCGTCGTCTGGAGCTGTAAAAACAAATGCCATGGCAAATTGGTAAATTTATATCAGAAGAAATGCACAAGAAAAAGTGTTAAGGGGTAAACCAGTCGAGTTATGGCATTTTTATGAAGTCGGCTTCATCTCTTCCCCAGACGGAAAGCAATTACTCCAAGTTTGAGTTTTATTGGGG